ATTCGAATGCTCGCGACATCTAATCTTAAATAACATAAATAAGTGTTGGAGAGTTCTAATCTTTTGTATTAGAGCGACACTTATGTTCACCGTTATAATAAAGAGACTCCGTTACTCTTCTGTTCTCTAGTAAATAAAGAATAGCCGTGAGCAACGTGTGATATAAAACTCTGTCGACTGTTATACATTCATTTTGAATTGCACGATCCTCAACAAATTACGACAATTTAAACATTCTACTTTATAGATTATCATGTACTATATTATATCTCATGTATCTATAAACGAAACATTCGAATGCTCGCGACATCTAATCTTAAATAACATAAATAAGTGTTGGAGAGTTCTAATCTTTTGTATTAGAGCGACACTTATGTTCACCGTTATAATAAAGAGACTCCGTTACTCTTCTGTTCTCTAGTAAATAAAGAATAGCCGTGAGCAACGTGTGATATAAAACTCTGTCGACTTTTATATATTCATTTTGAATTGCACGATCCTCAACAAATTACGACAATTTAAACATTCTACTTTATAGATTATCATGTACTACATTATATCTCATGTATCTATAAACGAAAAATTCGAATGCTCGCGACATCTGATCTTAAATAACATAAATAAGTGTTGGAGAGTTCTAATCTTTTGTATTAGAGCGACACTTATGTTCACCGTTATAATAAAGAGACTCCGTTACTGCTCTGTTTTCTAGTAAACGAAGACTAGCAACGTGTGTCCGAACTCTGTCGACTTTTATATATCCATTTTAAATTACACGATCCTCAAAACAAATTATGACAATAAAATATTCTACTTTATAGCATGTACGTTATATTTCATGTATCTATAAAATTCGAACAGGTTAAGAAAAAAAAACAAAAGAAAAAGAAAATTGGTGGCACCAACCTTTTTCTCGGTGAGCTTCTCGCACCGCCTCATCTTGCAGATCTGATGGCTCTTGTCGTTCCGGCAGGGCGCGCAATCGCCGCAGTTGTCCTTGCGTTGACACCCGATGCACTCGCCGCACCTCTTGCGTTTCTTCTTGGCCGGCTTGTCGCTGAGGCCGCCGTCACCGTCGGCGTCGGCCATCCCGCCGCCGAGGTGGTGCGGCCCCCTGTTCGCGGTGGACGAGACCGCTGCTACTTGCCCGGAACTCTCGACGTTGCCGGCGCCAGCGCTGTCTTCGGACTCCATCGAGCCGGCGCGTATTTTTCTACGCTCTTTCTTCCTGCCGTCGATGCCGATCGGCCTGGACGTCGGCGACGAGTCGAGCACCGTGGACATCGGGTTCTGGAAGTTGGCGTGATGGAGCTGCGGGTAATCCGGCTTCACCACGGTCAACACCGTGTGATGAGGATGGCCAGGGGGCGGCGGTGGAAACGCCTGTACCGGGCTAGACCCGAGCAGTTGGATGTGCCTTTCGTCGAGTAGCTGCTGCTGAAGCGCCGGCACCTCTCTGGCTTGGACCGGTGCTGGTACCAAAGGATAACCGACGCTGCCTCTGTGCGGATGTGGGGCTGGAAGCGGCGTGCCGAGCGTGTGGAAGCTAGGCAGGCCGACCGCCGACGTGACAGGTGGCGAGTGCGATATCGAGGCTGGCGACAATGGCGTGAGCGCGGTTAATTGAGGCTCTGCCTCGCTAGGTGCGGTAAATTGACTCGCGAAGCTCGGCAGACCTTCGGCGGCCGGTGTGGCGGTCGGCGCGCCGCCACCAACCGCGTTCTTCGACTCCCATGGCCTGTACTGGCTGGCGAGCACCACCTCGCCCCGTGAATCGATCAAGCGACCCGTCAATCCCTCGTAGTAGTCCCAGGAGGACGTCAGACCGAGTCCGACGTCCTGCGAGTGAAGGGTAGTCAGTGTTGTCGAGCTGTCCATCGCGTTGTCTCCGGCGAAGCTGCTGAATGGCGGCAGGTGACGCGCCGGATCACCTGGACCGACCGAGCTCGGCGAGGTCGCGACCGCCGCCGGAGGGCTTCCTGTTACCCTCTCGGTGGCGACGACCTCCTTCGTTACCTCGGCGCTCATCTTCCCCGCCACGTCATCTCGACGTGAACCCCCTGCGCGCAGGAGGTCGCGTTACTTTTCTTCTTCCAAGGGATGAACGTCGTTTCTCACGCCGGGCCGGGAATACCGAGACGACGATACCACCGGAACCGGTACGCGAGCGGTTGCGTATGAGGTTGTCGTACACGCACTTTCGATCTTCCGCTCTTCTTCAATTCCACTTCTCTCCACCGTCTCCTCCGTCTCTGATTTTAGAAACGTTGGTGTTCGTGTTTCCACGATCCACGTGATCGCTGGACGCTCGTTATCGGGATTATCCGCTCTGGTCGACGCGTGTTCCGGGCTCGTTCCCCCGGCACCACCGTGACATCTGACAGAAACGGGACCAATTCCTCCTCCTCCTCCTCCTCCACTATCGATGCTGTTTTCCTGCTCTGCCTCAAACCTTGCTCGATGAAGCTGAAAACGCTGGTTCCCTCGGCGATTCTTCCCCGAAGTTTTATTATTATTCCTCTGTACCTTTCTCTGCGTGTATGTCTTTCTTGTTGCTCGCGTGTGTATCGGTGTGTATCGATGTGTATCAGTGTGTACATGCGATTTTTTTCTTCCTTTTGCTGAATTTCTTCTCCCGTCTGCCTCTTGCTCTTCGTTCCTCTCTCGCGTTCACTCTTGTCGTCACTTTCACTCGCTCTCTCTCTCTCTCTCTCTCTCTCTCTCTCTCTCTCTCTCTCAATTTCTACCTCTCTCTATAACTCTATTTCTGTCGTTTGTACTCAACAGGTTTAGGCTACGAACTGAAGTAGATCGGTTTCTCTGGGAGTAATTATATGCGAGTCCCCTTTTCCGGATATATAGGGCGGCCTGCGTTCTCTCCGTCTGTCTTACACTTTGGATGGGACTCCTCTTCCTTCCTTAATTAGATACTCTCATACGCGTTCTCTACGAGTAGCTGCGTCAGTTTTTTCTTTTCTTTTCTGTTTTGTTCTTCCCTTTCCTTTTATCTTTTTGTCAAAAAAAGAAAAAAAATTAAAAAAAAACACGATCGTGAACCCTTTACTTTTCTTTCTTTCGTTCGTCAACTTTCGTGTGTTACTTGATAAGAACTTGATGAAACACTTTCAAGTCGGTCGGCTTCTACTTGCGTCTCTTGTATTTCGGTTTTGCGATTTTTTTTTTCTTTCTTCCTATTTTTACTTTTTTGTTCCGTTTGCTCCTCTGATTCTGAAAATCTGCTCGCGAAGAGATCGCCGCTCGTCTAGCTGGTTAGTGAGTATATATCGTTAGTTCGCTGAGTGATTAGTAGAAAAGAGAAAATGGTAGATTCTTTGGTTTGCGGTTTTTACTTCTTTCTTTTTTTTCCCCCTTTTTTGTCTTCTTCTTTCTTTTTTTTTTTCTTTCTTTTCTTTTGTTTAATCTGCCCTTAAACGTACAACAATCGTCTCAAACGCGTTTCCCCCCCTTTTTTTTGTATTTTTTTCTTTTTACTCTGTTTCCCCTTGTTTTTCGTTTTATTTTCTTCTTCTTCTTCTTCTTCTTCTTTCGCTTCGTCTTTCGATTTGGCACTGGCGGACTTTTTTTTTTTAATCTTTTTCTTTTTTTTTCAGATATACTTTGTACACTAATTAGATACTATAGCTCTTAATGCTTTGTCTTCTTCTGAACTTAAGCTCTTGAATTATCTTCTTTCTTCTTCTTCGTTTTTTTCGCTTTTTTTTCCTCCCTTTCTTTGTTTTACGTCGATATAAACACACTAATTACTTCTTTCGCGCTTCGTAAGAAAATAGAAATCACTTGAGGTTAATGTGGCTTGTTAGAAGGCGGTTGATTTGTACGATCTGCAACAGACAAAGATACAGCCGGATGTTAAAAACCAATTTTCATAGTACGGACAACTTTGTTCGCCTTTCGTCAATCGCGCACTGACTCTCACGTTCTTACTTTCTTTCATTCATTTCGTTCGTTCTGGTGTTCCAAAATAAAAAGAAACAAACTGCAAAAAAAATCGAAGCTCCTCTCAGTCAGATTCAACGCTTCATCCGCGAGTTGTTTCATTCAAAAATTTTTGCAGTCGCAACGCGAGGTTCACAGTCACTCATTTCTAATCTCTCGTGAAAAGAAATATCTCGTTCTTTTCAACGGCACGAGAAACGAAAAACTTTACCCTTTTCGGGATAAAAAAATACAATCAGAAAACTTTCTTCGACGAGATTCGAAAGAGGGCGTGGAGGAGAAGCGATTCACAGGAAAAAAAACGGAGCGTTTCGGAGATGAAAAAGAAAAAAAAAGAAAAAAAGAGAGAAAAGAAGAAAAAAAGGAGAAAGAAGAAGAAGAAGAAGAAAAGTCGCAATGACGAGGCTCATCGAGTCCTCCCCTTTCTCCGTGGTCACGTGAGGCGATCGTAAGCGAGAACGTGACACGCGACTACGTGGGAACGTGTCATAGACGTTACCATAACGTGACCATCGCTAAAGCCAAGGTTACTATTACGTTCGGCGTGTCTGCACACCTACTCGCTCGCTTTGATACCCGCGAATGTTGTGCCCTAGTCCCCGGACGGTTCATTCAACGTTGCTTAGACCGTTGACGATGGCTACGAGCTATTCGCGTTCCACCATTCTTTGTTTCCACGGTCACGTTACATCACGTTGATTGTTTGCAACACACGTTTCGCACTCTCGATTTCACAAGATTTCGCGGCGTGCATTTAACTCTTTTTCGTAGTTGAATTTGGTTGGTTGGTTCAATGTACAGGAAACAGATCATTTTGAATATTTATGTTAGGCTAGATCTGACCGATAATTCGGCGTTATCAGAGGGGAAGGTTACTTTCGACATGGTCAAGCACAAATTAAATTTAAAAGTGAAAATTGAAATTTAAAATTCACACGAGTTCGTCATTATTTTTATATAACTCCGTTTATCCTAACACGTATAATTCAAGTGCTCCAAAGAAGCATTTAAACAATAAAATGAATTGAACAAGCTGGTACGAGCTGAAATTTAACTTAACGTTTGTTCTAACTTTCGATTCTAAATTTCCATTTACCCCTCAATATTCAAATAAATTGTAACAAATATCCGATATAATTAAGGTCGAACAATTGTTCGTAATAGGCGAACGATTGAGAAAAGAATGGTTGGATTTTCCAACGAAGGGAAGAACGTTTGGCAAGAGAGCGAGACGATTCGCAAGCGGTTCCGAGCCATCGTCGAAAACCGATGCGATGCTGGTCCTCTGTGAGATATCGACCGCCATTTAACCCTCTCTCTCTCTCTCTCTCTCTTCTACCAACAATCTCGCCCTCTCTCTCTCCCTTTCTCCCTTATTCGCAATGCACATAGAATACACATCCCACACGACGAGCAACGCTACGCTTCTACATCAATCTTCGCGCGTGTATTTACGCGCGCCAGCCAGCTTTTGCACGGCTGGTGGATGCACATAATGGCCGGTGTACATAGAGAGAGCAATAGCTCTCTCGGTCGCTATCTCACCGCTGCCGCGCCACTCTCGCTCTGCAAAACTCTCTCTAATAGCTTTACAGCTGCGGCCGACAGAGAGCTTTCGCTATCGTTGGCAACTTGCACTGTCGTTCCACGCGCACTTTCGCTTGCCGCGAATTAAACCGCGAGTCACGTTCGAATCTCCCCGCTTCGAGCGCCAACACCTCGTCGACCCTGACGAAGTACGCGGGTTGACGTTTCGTCGCACAAGAATCGGTCCGAATATCACTTTGTGAACAGAGAATGGACTGTTACTCTCACTTTCACAGAGTGGAGCACGCGGTTCAGACACAATTTTTACATAGAAGAAAAAAATTGAATAGACACGCCACGTACATACAAACAAACATTTCTCTAACGAACGTTATTGTCTTTGTTTTTTTTTATTTTTTGATAGATCATGCTCCGGCAGACCTTCTCTTCCAACGCGTATCGTTTCGAGATTCTCGGCGATTTGGTATCGTTGTTGTCCTTTTTCTCTGAGATTCGGCATCGTTCGAGGATTTATTTCTTGCGAAAAGCGTGTGATGCGAGAGAAAGAAATGTTTTCGAGACCGATCGAGAATTTCAAGCGTGCAACGTGGAATGGCAAGCGGGCATGTGTGTATGTGACAGGCAACAAAGACAAATTCGGGCCAGTTGGCACGAATTAACGAAGAATCGAACGGTTCCACGAATTTCCTCGAACCTTGAGGCCGCCGTGCAGCAGAAATAACGACGTTTGAGCGAGTCAGCCCGGGAATTCTTCGCTCCAGCGCGAGACTAAGATCCATTCGATGTCACTTATTAACCCTTTCGGTCCTGGGGGAGAGGTGGAGAGAATCCAGGAATCCCCTGGGCCTCTAATTTAAAGAATATTATACCTGAGAGCTATTTTTTTTTTCTCTTTTTTAATAAATTTATTATGTTTGCCATGAAATCTTGACGACGAAATAAAAAAGAGATATTTTTACGCGTTCTTCCAAGGAGATTATATTTCCTAATTTTCTAATTTTTCTTCTATTCTGTAAATTTGTTCTGTAAATTTTTATCTTCTTCTGTTACTGCAAAGAGTGTCATCGACGCTGTCTTAAAATTTTCGAGCAAATTGTGTAAATTTAAATTCACGAAATTTTCTAATTTTTTTTTTATTCTGTTAAATTTTTATCTTCTTACTGCAAAAAGGATTATCGACGTTGTCTTAAAATTTTCGAGCAAATAGTGTAAATTTGAATTCACAAAATTTCCTAATTTCTTTTTTATTCTGTAAATTTTTATCTTCTTCTGTTACTGCAAAGTGTGTCATCGACGCTGTCTTAAAATCTCGAGCAAATAGTGTAAATTTGAATTCACGAAATTTTCCAATTCTTTTTTATTGTATAAATTTGTTCTGTAAATTTTTATTTTCTTCTGTTACTGCAAAGAGTGTCATCGACACTGTCTTAAAATTTCGAGAAAATAGTGTAAATTTGAATTCACAAAATTTTCTAATTTTTTTTTTCATTCTGCAAATTTTTATTTTCTTCTGTTACTGCAAAGAGTGTCATTGACACTCTCTTAAAATTTTCGAGCAAATAGTGTAAATTTAAATTCACAAAATTTTCTAATCTTTCTTTTTATTCTATAAATTTGTTCTGTAAATTTTTATCTTCTTCTGTTACTGCAAAGAGCAATAAATTTCATCAGAATGGGTGTCGAACTACGCTCGGCTACTTCGAGATTTATCAAGTATAAAATTGTTCTCCTTTTTTTTTTTCGTTAATCCAAGCTGCGTTCCTTTGACATTATCGTTCCAAAAATATCTTTTATATTCGCGTAACTTTGTTACACGCGAGACCTCTTTGCCTCGACAAGCTTTACAAAAAAATCATTGAAATGGTCCGTTCGAACTATTGTGTAACTTTTGTGCTGAATGTTAAATATTATTTTAAAATTCCTTCGTTATATATTTCATTTAATCGAAAATAATTGTGGAAAAAGAATTTCATCGCTTCCTCCCCTTCCCCGGACCGAAAGACTCTTAATGATAAGATCAAAAAAAAAAAAAAGAAAAAAAAATAAATCTCCGAGCAAGAAGAATTCTAAAAAATTAAAATAATCAGAAACGAGAAACGAGTTTTGCAGAAATTTTCGTTTTGTGCCCAAAAACACCTGCGATCAGGCGACTGAACTTTCCTATGGCTGTCCATAAATCTCTAATCTAGACTGAATACCGCGAACTTTAGTCTTTAAAGGTCGCGGAATTCGCAGCGTTGATAACACGTCCGCGAACAACCTTCGTACTCTTATTTTGCGCGCTGCGAAAGAAGCATCGCTGCTGTCCGGTAAGGAAGTTTCGAACGAAATCGGCGAATTTCGTGACACGTGTACGACCGCTCGGATATATAAATCGCTGCAGTCGCCGTCGAGAAATCGATCCGTCTCGTATCAGCGTATCCGACTTGATGCGAAACTTTCTTCCCGCATCTTCCAGATGTTTTATCGTTTCTCAGACTTCCCTGGCCAAGGGATCGGTATAAATTAAAGCTATCTCTTGGATGGATTTCGATTTCCTTCGGAAACCCACTGTGCATATGTGTGCGTTTGTACGTCGAGAGGCGAGTCTGAAGATAATTCAAATTTATGGATATTGGAGCGAGCGAGGCGAGAAAGAATTAACGTGATGTGTATATATCCGTAAATGTTCAAAATATAATATTTACATGTTACTTGTATATAGAAGTATTATTATATTATAGTATTATTTATATATGTGTAATATTACTAATATTTATATATATTACTATAGTATTTATATAATTAATATTTATATATTACTATAGTATTAATATTTAATTAATAAAATATAATTAATGTAATTAATATTTATATATTACTATTAGTATTTCAGTATTATATATATATCAGGTAAACTTCTACTTAAGTTCCATTTGTTCAATTGTAACGCACCTGTTTATAAATATACTCAGACACGTTGTAATTTGATTTTTTAGGAGTGTAATTCGATTGTCGAAATTGGAAATGGAAAAATTTTTCAAAGATACGTGAGAAAAATTTGGAAGGTCGCCCGACAAACTTGCAACATCGAAAATGACCGTAAAAACTTTCGGAGTAAAATAGAGGTTACTCCAATTTGTATAATACATCTTAATTACATAATCTATTAGTGTGATTCACTGCGAGATTCAACGCAGAGGCACGATTTTCATTACAGGCAGAAATCATCATCCTACACAAATAGAAGAAACACCAATCCAAAAATCGTCGCCGAATAAATTCGACTGTCAATTTCCAAAAACAATCAATTTTCAAAAAAAAA